TACTGCAGTGTCATCTGTCAACGTGACGTGTTTTCTCTGTTTTCTGACACTAATAGGCTGCAGCCTCCTGTAATGGCGTGTTGTGCGTCTGTGGCCTGTGTGTTTGTGCGCCTGTTGACGGCGAGGACACAATATTGGCCTTGCAGACTCACCCTGTAAAAGCTAATTGCCCGTGGCACCAGGCTGGCCTTCCCTTAATGAACCATGTGCCTAAGGTTAATTAAATTTAGACAGGAGCTCTCGCAGGTCACAGCGTTTCTCTGGAAAAAAAATATGAGCTGGTAGAAAATGGGGCAAAGACACCCAAGAGTGAATTTATCAACACTTGAATGATGTATGAGTGCATTAATTATATATGAACCTGTGGGGTTGTGAACAGTGCAGAATAAAATCGACCAATTGTCAGTATATTTTGCCATTATTGCTCTGAATGTTGTTGTCCCTTGTGATTTCAGACTGTGTAACTGACATTTTACTGTAAAGGAGCAATTTGTGATTTAAACGTAAACAAGAGATGCTCCAACACTGCTGCTGTCACTGACACAAGAAAACAATTCAGCTGCTATTGATGTTTTCTGATGATATTAAAGATTTGTTTTTATGGTAATTACTTGAAAATACTCTTAGTAATCAGGTGAGGAGGGATAAGGACAGACTAAAAATGTATTTATTCCACTGGACATGACTTTATAACATTGCGTCTGTGATGTGGAGTCCTGCCACTTTGCGGCCGTGCACTGTGGAATTTGGGGGTTAGCCGTCCTCTCTCCTCAGAGCACATATAAGAGCATTGGGACAGCCTTCAACTTAACCCTGATCTATATCAACTCGTCACCCATCACCACATCCTTTAAATACTCAACTATATAGATGTCACGATACTGGAATTTAGTAGTCTGATACCCGTTTCAATACCACGGTAAAAAACAAAAGCAAAATAACATATGCCATGCACTTTACACACAACACCACAAAAACAGACAACAGTGGCATGTAGCCTTCAACAACCACTCAGCGTACTCTTCTCTGCTTTCCTGTTTGCTTTCCACTCTTCAGTTGATCGTTTTTTGTTCATAGACTATCTGCCAATAAGCCTACATGAATCTAATTTTTTTGCCTCATGTTTTAACTCCTATGTATTTCATTTAAGTTGATCAGATATGAAGATACAGAGGTATCATTTCATGTTTGCTCTTTCCTAACGAAAGATTTGATAAAGACTGGCGCTGATGAATTCAAATATTTTGCATTATATGCAAAATAGAATTGTCAATGAAACTTACTTGCGTGTATGCTGGGTGAGTAAGTTTGGAATGAATGGACACCACTTTGAAACATCGTACCCCGTTCTCATAACGCATTAATGTGGCTCACAGAGGCTCTGCTGTTACATTAGAAGTTCTATATTTTTTCTCTATATTAATTGGTTAATAAAACCGTCCTTGACCTTCCAAGAAATGTGTAAAAAATTTGCAGTGTGGGTCAAATAGCCTTGAAGGTGAAACTGTGTGTGTGTGTGTGTGTGTGTGTGTGTGGGTATAAATGACAGTGGGCCCATTTACTGTGTTTAGTGAAAAAGCTGATTCTCAACCCGTTAATCATGTTCAATGGTAACTGTAGATTATGTATTTTTGATTTTCTCTTAACTATCACATGAAGTATACACTTAACATGATCATCAAACAAAATAATATAATTAAAGAACAGTCCCCCTGTTGGATCCCTTTTTGCTACAGACCCTCAGACTGTGCTCTAACAGACTTCTCTTTAGGATTCTGCCACAACTATTGTGATTTTCAGATTTTGCCTGCTGGGACTCAAACCACTGCATCACAAGCTCTCCTTTTTAAACATTTGGTCACAAGGTGGCTTTCCCCACTGGCCTGTCTGCTGTTTACACAGAGCGATGCGTTGACTTGGTAACATGTTAACATATCTTACAACATGTCAGACAACTGAACGCTTGTTGAGCCACCTCAATGTTCAGCCCCATAACCTGGGCAGATGTGGAACCTCTGACCCTTGACCTGGAAGATAAAAGCAAAAACAGACATGTAAACATGGCGGCTAATGGCCTTCCTACCCACTTCAACGCTCACCATATGGTAACAGAAAAAACAAACAAGGTCTGAATGGTGTCTGTGTTATCCAACAACAGCCGGCCTGGAAGGGAAAGCCATTCTCGCAGTGACCCCTCCGGTTCCCTCTGAACCAAATATCACAGGAGATGCTTTGGTTTGATGTGGCAAATCAGCAGACAAAACACAGTGGGGTAATTATGCATACTGCTATAGAACCTGGTGCTTTATTTGGTTGTTTTGATATTCTATTTTTATGGTCTCATAAACAAAAAATAGACCAAGCTTTAGGGTTTCCTGCAGGGATATGCGAGTCCTGCAGAAGCAACTACAGACAGTAAATAAAATGATAAATATACAATATATACTAGATTGTAGTGATGGAATTTGAAGTCAAT